TTATAAGCATGCACCACTGTGCCTGGCCTTTTTATGCCCAAATAATATTCTACTGGGTGGATATATGGCATGTTACCTTTATATCAGTTGAACATTTGTTTACTTTTTGCTACCATGAATAATGTTACCATGGTCATTCACACACCAGTTTTTTGGTGGACTTTTGCTTTCACGTCTCTGGGGCAGAAACCAAGACGTAGTGTTGCTGGGTGACATGGGAGCTCTATATTTAATATTTTGAGGAACTGTCAAACTGTTCTGCAAAGTGCCACGTAATTTATACCCCACCAGCAATGCGTGAAGGTTCTGCTCTCCCCATATCCTAGCCAGCACGGGTCCAGTCTGCCTAGTGGGTGTGGTGTGCTACTCCTTGCGGTTTTGAATTGCATTTACCTGATGACTAAGGAAGTTGAGTGTCTTCTCATGAGCCAAATGACCATTTGTGTGCCTTCTTTGGTGAACTGCCAATTCAAATCTTTTGTGCATCTTTTAAACGGGCATTTTGTCCTCTTGTTTTTTGTGTATTCTGGATACAACTATTTAACAAATATTATCTCCCTGTCTGTGGGTTGTGCTTTCACTTTCTTGATGGTGTTATTTGAAGTATAAGAGTTTTTGATTTTGATAAAGTTCTACTTATTGGTCTCCATTTCTATCACTCGGGCTTAGTTAAGAAACAGTTGTCTGACTCAAGGTTATTTACATCTGAGTCTTCCTGTAAGAGTTTGATAGGTTCCATTCTTACATTTAGGCCCGTGTTTCACTTGAAGGTAATTTTGTTTCTGGTATGAGGTAGAAATACAAATTCATATTTCAATGTGGATATCTGGTTGCCCCAGAATCATTTGTTGAAAAGAATATTCTCATGATGATTCTGTACATCTAAAATAAAGCTTATTTAAAAGATAATCTAGCTGGGTATGTAATCCCAGTGGCTCAGGAGGCTGAGGCAGGAGAGTCTTCCTACAAGTTTAAAGCCAGCCTCAGGAATTTATGGAGGCCCTAAGCAACTTAGTGAGACCCTGTCTCAAAATGAAAAATAAAAAGGGTTGGGGGATGTGGCTCAGTGGTTAAACATCCTGGGTTCAATCCCTGGTACAATAAATAAGTAAGTAAGTAAATAAATAAATAAATAATCAATTTGTTCTTTCCTCTATTGAATTATACTGGTCTTTTTGTAAAAAAATCAATAAATATAAGTATTAGTACTTATTTCTGGATTCTTTTTGGCACTGGGGATTGAACCCAGAGGTGTTTAACCACTGAGCCACATCTCTACCCCTTTTTAATATTTTATTTAGAGAAAGGGTCTTGCTGAGTTGCTTAGGACCTCACTAAGTTACTGAGACTGGCTTTGAACTAGAGATCCTCCTGCCTCAGCCTCCTGAGCCACTGGGATTATAGGTGTGTGCCACAGAGTCCAGCTATTTCTGGACTCACAATTTGATTCCATTGATCTAGATGTCTATTCTCATGCTGGTAACACTCTTTTGATTACTGCAGCTTCATAATAAGTTTCAACATTTGAAAGTGTGAATCCAACAACTTTGTTCTTTTTCAGGATTTATTTTTATTTTTATGTGGCACTGGTGATCAAATCCAGGACCTTGAGAATGCTAGGCAAGCATTCTATCCCTATTATATCCTATTCTATCTTGGATCCTTCAAGATTGCTATGGGGCTCAGTGGTAGAAACACTTGCTTAGCATGTGGAAGGCCCTGGGTTTGATTCCAACCCTGCAGGGGAAAAAAAGTATTTGACTAGTCTGAATCCCCTGCAGTTCCATATGATTTTTAGGATGAGCTTCTCAGTTTCTGCAAAAAGTCCAGCTGGATTCAGATGTTGTGTTGAACCTATAGATCAATTAAATAGGGTCTCTTCTTATCTTAATAATATTGTCTTCTGACCTTATAGCCTGAGAGGCTTTTCCATTTATTTACATCTTTAATTTATTTGACAATGTTTTGCCATTTTCAGTGTAGCAATCTTGCACCTACTTCTGTTAAATCTATTTCTAAATACTTTTTTTTCTTGGTTGATATGGTTTAAAGTGGAAATCATCTTCATTTGTGGATCTGCTAAGAGCTTATCCTTTGGCTATTGAAAAACATAAATCCCAGCCTGGCTCCACTATTGATTAGCTGGATGCCCTAAGGTTGCTCTGCCTATGTCAGTCTTTTCTGCATCTGAAAAAACAGGAAATTATAATACCACCCCATTAGTTTATTAGGCAGATTAAATAAGGCAATGTGTATGTACTACTATTGTGATCTTGAATCCTGCGGTGCTGTCTTAGGGTGTTGTTGTGATCCAGTCACCAAAAAGAAATTTTAAATTAGCTTTTATTCAATACTTGCACCTCTCAAACACTATGCAGACCCCAGTGATACTTATTAAAATCTTCTATGCAAACCCCATTGCATCCCACAGCGTTGACTCCACTTCTTCTCCCCAATCTTCCTACAAAACTTTTTTTCCCAGTCCTAACCAATGCACCCTGGTCTTTCTACGCCTATCTAGTTCTTCTGCTGATGGGGAAAGAGAAGAAACTGAGCTGGAAAAATCAGGGAACAAACTTAGGTCCCTTAACTCCTATAAAGCGCTTGGTACAGTATCTGATATACAGTAAGGACTCAATATATGTTGATTTAAAAAAAAAAAAATTCTGTGGTTGTTGCATTATGTCCATCTAAACTTCATCTGAATGATGTGGGGTTTAGACCATGACCCCCATGAGAATCCAGCCTGGGGGCTGCTACCCAATAGCCCACCTCACTTATTTAGTACATTTAGAGAGTTTGAATTTAGAATTGTTGTTCTTCCTGAATCATGGGAATCAGCCCTTGGAAAACTGTGAAAAGTTCATGCTTGAGGCTCCCTGAATAATGTGTGGTGGCCGAATCTCTTGCTTTGTCACCAGCTGAGCATAAGAATCTCATGTTCCCTCCTCTTTTCTCACAAAACCTTCTAGTACCGTGATTTTGAAGCTCCAGTCTGGGGCTGGGGTGTGGCTTGGTGGTGGAGCACCTGCTTTGTAAGAGCAGGTCCCTGGTTCCATCCCCAGCACAAAAGGAAAGAAAGAAGGGAAATAATCTGCAGGTCAGGACCCATTATTTAGTGGGCCAGCTTTGGTTTCAAGTGACAGAGTGAAAGAAAGCAAAATAGAAAATATCCAAGTCCATTATAAGTAGAACTTTTGTTTTGTTTCAACTTTATGATATGTATGTGAGCTGGGTCTCTGAGAGATGTATTTCCTACAGTGGCTGAAAGGTTATTTTTTTTTAATGTTTAGGAAACAGAATTGAAGTAGATCTTTTATTAAGGTTTGTTGTTGTTGTTCTTGTTTCTTTTCCTTTCAGTACTTGGACTGGAACCCAGGGTCTTACATACTCTAGGCAAGCGCTCTACCACTGAGCTGCATTTCCAGTCCATTTTTTAAATTTTATGTTGAGGTGGAGTCTCACTAAGTTGCTGAAGCTGTCCTTGAACCTGTGACCCTCCTGCCTCCGTTTTTTTCAAGGAGCTGAGATTAGAGGAGGGCACCACTCTACCCAGCCTCATTCTGGTGTTTAAATAATCGGTAAGGGTGTGAAGAAACACTCAGCAACCATCTGTGCATTCTGATGGGAAGGGTAACTGAGTCCCAGGGATGAAGTTCCATCAGTGGATGTGGGTCCATTGAGGTCTCTTCCTGAACCTGGCAACCCTTGGAGAAGGACTGGGCTCTTGGCCATGTGCCACCTCTCAGCCATCCCCTCCTCTCATTCCCACAAAGTCTGCAAATCTACATGCTGAACCTGTGCAGGATTTTCTATTTTTTAAGACTCACGAATTCCATCTTACTTGATGCTCACAACTCTCCCATGAAGTCCCTAGGTCAGGTCCAAATCCCCACTTGACTACCTAACTCACTGAGTGACCTTAAGCAAATTGCTTGAGCAAACTGGCAAGGCCAGGAGGAGAACTGGATTTTTCACCCCCCGAGTCCAGCTGCCCCACGGGTTCTCCTCACGGAAACACGTTGCTTTTTTTAGAGGTATGATTCATCGAACTGCCTTAGGAAGAATGTTTAAAAAGCAAAGACCATTTTACTCTCCCCCATCAGATCTAAAAACACTGATTTTTATGGCACAAAACACAAGATAAATAGTTGGCCAAGCCTTGGGAACAGGCACTGTCACTCCCAATACTATTAGTTAAGACTGGGTCATCACAAGCAGAAATCAGCCAGGGAGCAGAGGAAAACAAAGTTGTCTGCTTTTGTCCTTTGTGTGGCAGAGTGTCCCCCCTAGTGGCTCTGGAGGAAAATAGCCTCTGGAAACAGATCGACAGATCCTGTGTTGACGCAGTTAGAGAAGCTTGGTGAGCGCTGGCTCTGTGTGTCCCCTGAGACAAGAACAGGGGTTCTCAACAAGGACAGACTTTGTCCCCCAGGGGATTTTTGGCAACATTTGGAGACATTTTTTGTTGTTGGATGAGGGTGTGTGGGGGTTAGTGCTACTGAGTGTGGAGAAACCAGGGACAGCCCCACCTCATCTAGAATGATCCAGCCCAAGCTGTCGGTGCTAGCCAGGTGGAGATACCCTGGGCTACAGAAGGGAGAGAACAGCCCAGGGAATGGGTGGCTCCTCCACGGCTTATGCGGAGGTTTCTCTTTTTTTTGATTCCTCTACAAACTTTTAAAATTAGAATTATTCAGAATTCAAAAGTAATACATGCTCATCAATAAAAGCAATGTCATAAAAGACTTGAAAGGACTCTCTGTTCCTTTACCTCTTCCCAGAATCAGTGTTGGGCTAGGGATGTCGCTCAGAGGTACAATATTTATCCCTCATGCCTGAGGCCCAGGGTTCAATCCCCAATATCACGAAGAAAAAAAGAGTTAATATTCTTGGTGTTTAGGAGGTTGAACTGTACTCCAATTCCAACTTAAACCATTAGACTTATAAATCTGGAAGTTTCCCATGGCTATACTTAAGATGTTCATCTCTCACTCCAGGTACCCAGGAAGACCAGGGTCAACGCGGACAAGGAGAATTCTTTTGACTTTTCTCACTGGGATTCAACAACACACATTACAATTTACTTTTAAAAGTTCAACTAGTAGAACATCTGTTCAGATTGAAGATAATGATCTCCTGCATGTTCCCAGATGTTTGGGATGCTCAGAACTGTGGGCTCCAAGAAGTCAAGATGACCCATGATGATCATTAAAGGGAACCGAGTCACGTGGTGGTCTCTGGTGCCTCTCTGATGTTTGAGGTCTCATCTTTTTATAAAGAGCTTGGTTCAGGATTAGAATCTTCCAACATTAGAAATTAATGACATTGCTTTGTTGTCTTTGTATCAACGATTATAGATACTTGCTATTATACAAAGGCAAGGTTGGTTTTTTACTGAGCGTGGGGGTGTACAATTTCAGTTTATAACAAATTTATATAAAAACCAGAGACAACTCCAATAAAAGTGTTCTAATGGTACAAGATTAATTAGAGTTTGGAAGGAGTTCTCTGACTCATTCTTGGTATGGCTGATTATATGTCATTCAATCATTCTCAATTGATAAATAAATAGGGTTTTTGTTTTTTTCACCCAGGAGTTGTTTTAAAAAATTGCTTTGCTGTTAGAACAATGTTGCAATGAATATCCTGACTTTTATACTTTGATTTCTATAGAATACGTTGTCCAAAGTGAGGTTTCCAGACCAAATTATCTTGTGTATTTTTAATTTTAATAGATTGTTTCCAGATCATTTTCAAAAATGTTGAAATGTCATACTCTAATGAGCAATATATGAAATGGAATATTCTCCCACATCTTGGATGTCACTGGAGTTATCATTCTTTTTAAGTCTTACCAATCTGATGGGGTAAAAATTGGCATCTCACTTTCCCTTTAATTTGCATTTTTTCTGACTAAGTCCAGTAGTTAAAAGTAGTTACTCTGAAACACAAATCCTTTGATTTGAATCGAACACTGCCACTTAATGGCTGTTTTTTCTTGGTTGAGCGTCTAAATCAAGATTTTAATGGACATCATAATGGTGTCCACCCCTTAGAGCTGCTGCAAAAACTGGGTGAGTTGATGTGTCTAAAAAAAAGACCTGAATGATAGTGAGCTTTACATCAGGGTTAGTGTTACAGGTGAGTTCAAATAGTTTCTGTGGGCTTATTGACCATCTATGTGTCATTTGCCTACTTTTCTATGGACTCATTCGTCTGTTACCAATTTGCAGGAGCTCATTGTGTATTAGGATATTTAGGTCTGTGTGATATACGTGCTGTGAATATACACTTTTCTTCACTTTACCATTGGTCTTTTGACTTCAAATGTAGTGTGCATTTTTATAAAAAAATATTTTTAGTTGTAGATGGACACAATACCTTTAATTTATTTATTTTATTTTTTAATGTGGTGCTGAGGATCAAACCCATACCTCACATGTGCCAGGCAAGCGCTGTACCACTGAGCCACGATCTCAGCCCCTGTCGTGTGTGTTTAAATAAATAACATATTCACGTTGGTGTGAAGCTGAACACTTCCCTTTATGGCTGTTAGGTTTTTTGTCTTGGCTGCAAAGATCTTCTACCTTTATACAAATGGACTTTGAATTTTTTTGTTATTAAAAGCCCTATTCCAATTCTTTGAGGATTTATTTTTAAAATTCCCCATAGTTGCCTGAGCTGATGTTAGCCATATTTGGCTAGTTCTGCACTGTGGCAGTGACTGACCCACCACCTCTATGGGAAGACAAGAGATGGGGGATTGTCATTATCTGACCCTCCCTTGGCTTCCCTTGACCCACATCCAGTCGTGTAAATGCTTTTTGTCTGCTGGCTGCTTGGTGGAACTTGAACGGAAGGTTGGATGTAGGTACAGGAGTTCACCAATCTGGAAGGTCATCCAAATACCCAGACTTCCCTCAAACCTGGCCTAGTCCCTGATCCCACTGTCCTTCCTGAACAGGGCCACCTCAGCCCTGTTGCCCTTAGGTGAGACAGCCCTTAGGCTGTCCCCCTTAGGGACAGCCTCATGCAGGCTAGCCTGAGGCCTCTCGCCCAGTGCCACGGGTCTAGAAGTGCTGTTCCTCACCCAAGCCCCATCTACCTGCTGCACAGGAAACCTTCTGAACCGCCATTTCCTCCTTTCCAAGGCTCAGCCACACCCACTTCAGTTAATGCTGTGGATACTCAAGTCAGGTTTCTAGCAGCTTCTCTTTTACAGTGATGTCATCAGTTCCAAACCTTTTTTGTTAATGCCTTTGGCCACTCCACCCCTACCTCCGCCACACACACATACACCACCCCCCCCCCCACACACACACACAAGCTGAGTGTTCACCCATGAAGCACAGAGTGGCAGAGAAGTTAATTGGTGTTGTGGGCTTTTTTACTGCTCTGGCTTTATCAGCAAAAAAAAAGAGTGATAAGGTCATTTTTTTCCATACCCTTGAGTCCTTAGTTCTGGACTGGCTCCCTTTCCTTAGCAGGGGAAAAATAGCCCTTTGTACTTCAAAGGTTTTAAAACAGAAACGTTCCTGGGTTCCCAGGATAAAGTCCCTCCACTCAGATCTTTGTTTGAAACCCAGACCTTAAAAGACTTCTTCAGGATAGTAGAGACAGTCACTGTGATTAAAGGAGAGAGTGTGGCCCAGCCCTACTTGTGGAACCCCTGAGCCAGAGAAGTCTGTGAACTCTGGGGAGAACGTGCCTGTGTGTGCACACAGACATGTGGAGGGGAGTGGGTTCCAGGGTGGCAAGGGTCTGTGTCCTACCACCTCCACAGGAACACAGGTGGCTGTCTATGGAGGCTGGCATGGTACACTGTGGCTTGGACTGGGTAGGGGACTGGGTAGGGGACTCCATGAATGACAACCTGTGGCCAGTGGAGATGGGCGTGCAGCACAAAGAAGCCCCTCCAAGCTGGCCCCCCGAGCCTGCCTGGCTGAAAATCTAGCACATGCAGTAGTCACACTCGTGGCAACCTCTGTGATCTGTGAATCAGGATACCCCGTTTCCCTGGGCCCATGGAGGCCTGGGGCCTCTGCACACTCCCAGGGAGGGGACAAAGAGAGCCAGGAATCATGACACTGCATTCTTCCCCAGTCTTGGAGAGTGAGGAAACTGAAGCTGAACTGAATGCGATTTTAGACAAATATAGAAAAGGGACATTCCTCACACCTGGGTCTGATGGAGCCATTCTTACCTGTTAACCACATCTCTCTCTGTGATGTCATTTGTGAAATTTCCCCAAGAGAGGGGCTCCTGCATTTTGAGCAGCTTCTCTAACTCCCCTGGTTAGAAAGCCTCTCTTGTCTATACAGCATGTAGAGGTCAGCTTATAATATACATATGTTACTTTAGGGGAAACACGAGTCCTTAGGATCTTGCTAAATGCTTCCTCCACATTCTAAAAAAATGATAGAAATGGGGTCTGCAAGAAGAACCATGGATGAGGACTAGAACTGGGCCTAGATCTAAGCCTTGATTAGGCTGGTTAGTCTCCCAGTGCTCCTCAGGAATCATCTGAGAAGCAACAGGGAAGTGAAGGCCTTGTGGATTGGGTTACTTTGACTCAATTAGACTTTGGAAGTAATACCACTGTGAAAAAAACAATGTGTTAGGTAATTCAAAGGCAGAAGTAAAATATATGGGTCCTTCCAGAAGGATGGTATTGCCTCTTTGGAGAGAGATATTGATAGGCCATGAAATGCACAAAGGGGCTGGGCTGACCATTGACAAGCTAACGCATGGGGAGCCCAGATGGTCACAAGACAGGGCAAGCTGGGAGGTCTCCATGGAGGAAGGGCCCTGGGGGGGACACTGCCTGATTTTGCTCATCCAACTTCTTGATTTCAGTCAGGTGGATGAGACAGGTGGGGGACAAAGAGGGGTTGCTCCAAAGAAGGGGAAGGGACTTGGACAAGGGGACACAGATGAGAATGGTCACTGCCTGACTGCGAGGCAGCCCAGGGGTACTGGAAGGAATGGGGAATTAGACAGAGTTGGGCCTGAAGGGCAAGACTAGCCAGAGGAGGGCTTTCAACACTGGGCAGAGGAGTTTAGACACGAGGCAGCTGGGTTTTCTGCACGGGAATTCCACAGGGTTAAAGGAGGATTAGCAGGAATCTCCTGTGGAGATAGCAGTGTTGGGGGTTCTGTGGGCTAGCAATGATTTCTTTGTAATGCTGCTTATGGTATTTTTTTTTAAAGTTGACTTTGATCTGGAGGTATTGCATGTATTTTATGTAGAACTTCTAAAGGGGTTTATACATTGATATGACTTAATCCACACTATTAGTAAGGGATTATTGATTTATAAATGAACAAGTCCAATCAGGAGGATCTGGGTTGAAGAGATTTGGAAGAAGACACACAAGTGTTGACTTCATAAGGTGGTTATGAGTCACTGCAGAAGTTGGCTGAGGATCAGGTTGTCCTCCAAGACCACACTCACAGCATCCCTGAGGACAACTAGAAACTGAAGATAGTTTCCAAGAAAGCAGCTCAGACAGTGGTGAGTAGTGAGCCAGGACAGTCCCATGACACCTGTGGGCAACCCCATTAGTTCGACACCTCATTTCCCATGTTCATTTCTTCATTTATATTTATAGTCTTCATTTATATTTCCTAAGACTCCATGGAAGATGTGGGCTTCAGCATCATGTGATGTGGTCTCCACAAGCCAGCGGGGAAAGGTAGGCGCACACACAGACGATGGCACTTCGCAGCCGTTGTTCTCCCCTCCCCACACCCCATTCCCTCTGGAAAACCGAAATATCGGTTGTATTGGTAGATGATGCATTCACAGCTTTTCTTCCACGAGCTCCAATGTCAACTCTTGCTTTGTGGTTAGTGACCAGAATGAAGATGTTCAACAAGAAGCTTCTAGAACTCTTCTCCCTACCTTCCAAGGGGAGTGACATGGAGGAAGTTCTCTGATTTGGCTGAGCCGAGGTTAGGGATGCAAAGTGGAAAGTAAGAGACTAAGGGAATCAACCCGAAGAGAAAGAGTTTAAGTTTCCCTGAAAGGAGAGGATTAGGGTTGGGTTGGGGCTTGAAGGCTTGTCTTGGAGGGAAAGAAAAAGAGGGAGAGAAGAGAAAGAAAGAAGGACAGAGAAAGTGGTAAAGACAGAGATGGGTGGGGAGAGGAAGAGAGAAGGTCTGAGTCTGAGCATCCTTGGAGACCAAAGGGATGAGAGAGGGACCCTTCCCTATCTGGAGGAAGTTCTACCAATGCCATGCTGCTACTTCTCAAGGCTTTGGTGTGGGAATTGGAGAGGGGCTATGGAATATGTCCCCTAAAGTTCATGCTTGGAAATTTAATCCCCAAAGCAATAGTGTTGGGAGACGGGCCTTTGGGGAGGTGTTGAAGTTAGGCGGGCTCTGCCTATATGGATGGATTAATGGCTTGATGAAGGGAGATGGGCTTTTTTTGCCCTTCTGCCTTCCACCATGTGAGGGTATAGAGTTTTCTTCTCTCCAAGGGAACACAGTGCTCAAGATACCATTTTGGAGGCAGAGAGCAGCCCTTGCCAGATGCTAGCACCTTGATCTTAGACTTCTCAGCTCTCAGAACTATCAGAAAGACCTTTCTGTTCTTTATAAATCACCTGTTCTGTGGGATTCTATTGTAACAGCACAAATTTTAGTGCAAACCATTACTAATACTGAAGACGGTTCAGTATTTGTGGGTGCTGCGTCACGCTCAATTTTGCAGTCAAGTTTCCTCAGACGGCTTTGTCTGTGTATGTTTGATAGCTGAGCTCTTTGTCCTGTGAGCTTGACATGGCCAGGGATGTGATTTTCATGGCTTC